TAGTGTGTGATGCATGTTCATTAGTTTCTGTATTTTTTGATCCAATTCCTCTAGTTCATTTTGAGTCCAATCTATTCCAGCTGGGTATCTAAATACTGGAATGGCCCATGCGTTTATTCTTAAATCCCAAATTAAAACTACTATTTCTACAGTATATGGTGGCCACCTAAAATATAGTAAATGATAATCTGTCACCACTTTTTGAAATAAGTAATTTGATCTGTGCAACTATAATTTGTTTAGTTGCTGTGGGTTTTTCGGGCTCTATAATTTTTTTTCTAATATAAAAGAATGGTAAGCTCTCCTTCTTTTTAGTTGGACTACCTTGGCCTCAGTCTAATGTCAGTAGTGCTTAAGAACCAAGAGGTCATGGACCACATGGGGAAACATTTTAAAAAACACAACCTACAAACAGTGTCTAGGCCCACTACAAAAATAAAACAAATGTTACAGTCAGCAAAGGGTAAAAGGGACCCCCTCGCCACTGCAGGAGTATACCAGATACCTTGCAATTGTGGCCAGGTATATATTGGGACCACAAAATGCAGCATCCACACCAGAATCAAAGAACATGAAAGATGCTGCAGACTAAAAGAACTGGAAAAATCAGCAGTAGCTGGAAATGCTCTGAAACAAGCTGGACAGGAAATCCGATTTCAAAATACAGATGTGTTAGACAGCAACAGCAATCATTATATTAGACTATACAGGGAAACCACTGAAATCCACAAATATCAGCAGATCTTTAACAAAAAAGAAGAAAGTCTAAAACTCAACAAAGCCTGGCTCTCAGCACTGAAAAATACAACTTGTAAAAAAGTCAACAAACTCTACCCACCCACAAGGACTGGTGATCACTGCACACAAAAGACTAGCTAAAGACACCCATCAATCACAGTGACAGATAATCTCCCCCTTTATCACAACAATACACCCATAACAAAAAACATTCTGATCACCATAATCACTCAATCTCCTGAAAAGGACAAAAAGCTGATCTCACAGATACAAATTCTCAACTATCCCACACACTACACCAGAACACAGATACAGTTCTAACTTCTGTCCTCTGAAGATGCCAGCCATAGAAACTCGTGAAACGTTGGGAAGAAAAACCTCTAGAACACAGCCAAACAGCCCGAAAACCCTACAACAATCAAAACCAGGAATGTTTTTTAGTAGAAAGAATGTAAGTTATTAGTTCTAATAAAACAAATTCCTGGTTTGATAATTCTGTAGCGCTAAGTATATCTTTCATACCAGACTCCTGTTGATGGATTTTTTAAAATATATACTGTATAGAGCAAAAACCCTGTACAGTAAAACTCATTTCCACCAATCTCTGGTTTAACCCACATAACTATACCACTAGAGGGCGAAAAAGAGTAATATACAGCTTGTAATAGCTTTGTTACATTACACAGTTTGTAATGGCTTTGTCAAGTTATCAGTCCTTAGTCCTAAATGAACAGAATTAGGGCATTGCCAAGAAGTAATAAATATTGTTACCTGTTGGCAATATCTTAAGGGATTGGGACAATTGAGAGTTGTTTACATTTTCATAGTAGAGAATATCTGGCAGCGCCACCTTGCCAGTTATATTACAATTAGTAAGGACAAGTGCATACAGATAAATCTTTTATAGTTTAGTTATTCTGCCACATTCACATGATTTTGCAGTTGCTCCAAGGAATATTATTTCCTATTTGTACACCACCCACATTCCTCTGTAACTTCTTTTCTTCCACAGAAAAGAAGAAAAGTGCTTGATGGGAGATTCCTGATGGGATTTTGATTAGTACTTTGGTCGAACTTCTTTCATTTTGTCAGGACTTCACACAAAATTGTTCTTCCCCTGTATCCCTATCTTGTTTCTCCATTGCTTCTTCTACCTTTTTAAAAATTTTGTAAAAAAATGTTAAGATGAGAAAGATGGTACAGTGCCTTCCAAGTGCTAGCATAATGCTTTCTAATTGCTAGCATGAGGGTCCCTCATGCTAGCGCACAAGAGTATCAGAAGCCCTCTGTACAGAAGCAGCCAGAGAAAAAGGAGACTATTAAATCTTAGAACAGAATGTGCTATCTGCCCAATAATATAATACTAGTCTTTCGACCAGACCTCTAAATTTAATAGTTAATAACAATGACATAATATCTCTAAAACATGGCACCTAGCTAGGAATAATTTTTGCAAATGCAATGTAATCTTCTGTCCCTGGATTACAGAATGGTTTAGAGACTGCAAGGTGTTATATTTGGAAATATCGAGTCCTTCATGAGATCTAGTTGCTCAGCTCTGCTTTTCAAAGTTGTTTCTTCTAGTGCCTCAAATTGCCAAATCTTATTCGTTTGTTTAATTTAAGGCCTTTGGATCAACCCTTGGGTCAAAAAGGCTGTCTCAAGTAGGTGAAATGGTAAGTATTTCCTTTTCTCCACACCTCCCAGATTACTAGCGATGAAAGGAAAGAAGAAATACTCCAATACTCCTTAATTAGCAATTTTGTTCATTTTGTTTGCTGCATTTCTCCTGAAATAAAACTCATTCCAGAGCTCTGGGCAATATCAATGCATATATTGTACAGGAGAGGAGGCTTGATATAAGTACTTACAATAATAAAGATGCGTCTTATTAAAGGTGCAGGTCAGAAAGATGTAGAAACTGTCGATTCATTGTCTCCTAAAGGATGGCAACAGGAATGTGATTTTTTTTTTTGCCTTACCCTATAAATGGTCTAAGATTTATTGCAAATCTTGCATGTTAAGTAAAATTAAAAATGGAATTGTTTCAAACAGAAACCACATTTTTGTGAGCATGACTGTGTTTATAGCCTTAATTTACATCACCATGTTAAGATTCACTTCTTTCTGTGCCAGAAGATTCCTTTTCACAAAGCCCAAGTCTCTCTTATAATTATTGTTGAGGTCCGTGTGAGACATAACAATAAATGGCCAAATACTTCCAAGAGACCTTCATAGTACATTAATTAGAGAGAGTACCTGAAATTAATTGGTTTACTATAATTTATTTTAAACCCTGACACTGCACCATACTCCCTATCGAGGTTAGCAAATAGTTCAGTGCCTGAATTTGACACATAAGAAACAGTCATGTTGGAGATATACAGTATTTACCTCTAGTATCAAAGTCAGTTGCTGGGAGTACAGTTAGGAAAGTACTCCTGTACTGTACTTTGTGCTTCTCGGTTTTCCATCTGGTTGTTTGAGACTATTAATAGGCCTTTAGTCCAATTCAGCAGGGCTCTTAGTTGCAAAGGAAGGGAGCTGAATAGGCAGTGGACTGAGAAAAAAGCAACCTATCAAGAAATAGGAACCTGAGGAAAGGCTTCTTCCTAGAAAGGGCCAGAACTAAAAGGGGCATTTAAGGATGCAATAAAGAAACATATAGGCAAAGAAAGTGGTGGTGTTATAGGAAAGATTGAGGAAGGAAGACTAGAGTAGAACAAGGATTAGGAAAGCAACAACGGAAGAGAGGCAGTAGTAGAATCAGGGGGGCACAAACCTGAAGGGGAAAAAAATCACATTTAGCATCTAAATGTGAGTAAATGTGGTTGACTGAAACAGGAATTTCAGGCTTCTCCTCTTTATACCATGTTGACAGGACATTTTGGAGATCATTCATCCACAGGGTTCCCATAGATCAGAGATGACTTGACAGCAGGTAACAACTAATCTGCGACAGGCAAGAAAATCAATCTTATTCACATTGAGCAGGGAATAAGCAAGTTAAATAATGGGGCTTACTTCTGTGAAAACATGTACAGCCACTATAAAGTCCCGACCCCAAAATGATCTAATTGTACAATTGCACTTCCGCATAAACAAGCAATAGAAATAAAGCGAAACTGAGCCTGCTGTTCGTTGGGCGCAGATCCCTTGGAGCGGAGGGGCTCACCCCTGGATGCAAAGACCGTGGTGTAAATAAACTTTTAAGTTTGCAAGCAATCCTTAGCGCACAAGTGTCGCTTGCAAGGGCCCATTTGAACAATGTGAGAAGTTCTTTCCCAAGTAAGTGTCATGCCCGGGAATGTCAGGCTTGAGAGAAGGGCTGAGTGTGTGTAAAAACCTCGGTCTGTGTCTCCTCTCGTGACTGACTCCCTCGCGTGTCCCTTCCTGAGGCGCTTCTTGGGCGCCTCAGAGCGGCCACGCGGGGTCATCGGTCTCTAGCCGGCGAAGCGCTTGTTTATCTCCTTTCCCTGCCGCCTCCTTCCCCATTACAGGGCCCGGGCGGAGGGGGGGGGCTGGCGGTTGGTCGGGGCGGTCCCGAAGGAGGAGCTCGTGGCTTGCTCTGAGTTGCTCGCTTCGTCAGTCAGCAGGCTCTGCTTCCTTTTCTGAGGCGCGCCTGAAGCCCCGACGGTCGTTGCTTCTACCGAGCACAGACAATCGCAGCCGCCGCCGCCTCCCCTCCTCCGGCCTCCCATGGCTGGCCGCGGCGGGTTTCCGCTTACCCCGCCACCCCCGGGGGGACTACCGCCTGCTGGCTCGGTAGCGGCCGCCGTTCCTCCCCCTCCTCCCCAAGCTCCAGGACCAGGAGGCGGGCTCTTGCGAGGAGGACCCAGCCCGGCTGGGGCCACCCTGTACCGGCCCATGGGACACGCGGCTCCGTTCCAAGTACGTGGGAAGGCGCGTGTGTGCGTGTCAGTGTCAGAGATAGCTGCTGGTAGGGTTTCCTAGGATGATTTTTAAGTGCGGGAGGATAGTCAAGAGAGCTGCTTGGACGGCGGGTTGAGAAAGATTCTCAGAAAGTGGCAGGGTTTGGGGGCACGTGTGAACGGAAGCGTGCCAAGTTCTGCGATGTGTGTGAGTGACTCCTAAGGACGGAACGCTTGAAAGATATGAATGCCATTCCTTTGGAGGGTGGGTTACTGTACTGGGAATTCGGAGACACACGGACGTGAAAATAGTATTGCCTCTTTGGGGTGTCTCGGCGGGATTTTGGGGGATCTGAAGGAAGGACGGGGGATTTCCTAAGAAGAAAAGGCACACATGGGCGTGTGTATGGTGGCGATACTGAGAGTGATACAGTACTGAGGTTGGAAGTGTTCCTGAAGGCTTTGGGGAGGAACAGGTTGAGGGGACAGATCAGGGTTAGGGACATAGGGGTGGCGGGCGTGCATATAAAAGAGGGGAGTATTATATCTAAGGGATTGTGGAAAGTTTTTTCCCTTGGAAAGTGGCCAAAAACCAAGCATAAATAACAGTTCTGTTTGATTAGGTACTGATTGCCTGGTTTGGCTAATTATACTATATACGTACTGTACTTCTAGGCTGATTGTGTTTTGGATGTTTTGTTTATAAGTAATCCAACAGATGATTGGCATAATTTTATAGTATTGTCTGCCTCAGATTTGAAAAGGTGGGCATAAAGTGTGTAAAAGTAAAGGTGTGATATCTTGAACGTGGTGATATCAAAGAACTTGGCTTCTGCAACTGGACAGTTTCTCCTTATGGGCGTCTTTGGCAGGGCAGCAGAGCCATGAAGTGAGGCTTCGTGTTGCAAATGGTGGACCTGTCAGTGCAGTCCTGTGCAGAAAGTTTTGCTGTAGACATGTGCTTAAAAGTTACAGCGTGTGAACGCCTTGTGGTGGTGATTTTGTAGTGTTGGAAATTTAGAGTATGTGAAAAACTGGCTATTGCTATTCTCTGAAGGCAGAGCTGGAAACTACTTATTAAGGCTCTGGTGTCTGCAGTTGAAAAGGCAAGTCAGTTAATAAGACTGCGCCTCGTGTTTCTTAAGCAGATAGGCAAAGCAGAATATAGGAGGACGCAAAATGTTACCTGAAGAAATATCTGAAGTATTTTCCTGGAAACATGAGTGTTGTATCTTTTGGCTTGTGGATTTGTCTGGAGCAAGACTCCCAGTCCTTTCAATGCTTGCTTACTCAAGCCTCTGTGTATTGGAAGAGCTGTCTTCTCAAGCAGTACTTGATATAAATAATACTGTATCACACTCCTAGGTGCATGGTGGGGAAGGGAGAAGGACCCATAGTAATGATGATAAAGGGCAGATAGATTTTTTGGGGGGAGGGTTGTTTGCCAAACTGTGTTCTGAAACATATTTTGCCATCTTGAAATCATATGCATAATATAATTCTCTAAGTCAAAGGGAAAATACAGTCACCTCCATTCCTCTTTCCTTTTTGCAATCATTAATCCAGTACTAGACCAGTGGGGGGAAAAGAGTGATAAGGGGAACTTTCTTACACGATTTAAAATTGGTGCTTGTGGACAAATTAGAGACTTTAGGTCACAGCAGTTTCTGAGCAAGTAAGTTAAATGCTGACAACTAGCCACTAATAATGATCCTTTGGGCTAAGCAGATCCTCTGGGTTTTTTTTTTGCTTTGAGCTGCAAAACTTGCTAGAACTCAGGTGATGAAGCCAACTACAAAATCTGACTAGTGGGCTGCATTCATCTGGCTGGACATATGTTATGTAGGCCTGAAATATATTTTAGTGTTTGGCAGTACTGAACAAATCAATGATAGTTTTTATTTATTTGTTTACTTACATAACATGCATGTCCCACTTCTTTCATCGAGTGGAGTTACAATAAATAATATCTTAAAAAGCAAGGGGCTATATTTGATGTCACTGCTATCTAGAGTAGATCTCCTGAAATAAATGGGATTTGTTAGTCACAGCTAACTTGAATGCCATTTATTTCAATGTACAGTATCTACTCTAAGTGGAACCAACATGGGTTTTAGCCAGAGATAATGATCATTGTGCCCCAAAGCAGAAAACTTGAATCATGTAGTGGTTATAGTGATGAACTAGAATTTTGGAGATTTAGGTTCTTGTTCCCAAAGAACCATGAAATTCACTGAGTAACCTTTGGCTTGTCACTTGTTTCCCTCAGTTTGGTTAATATCACAGTACAGTATTGTTATGAGGATGAAGTGACAAGGAGAGCATGTACCTTAGCTCACTGGAGTAGAAAAGGTCATAATAGTAAATTATAGATCAATAATAATAAAAATAATAAATATAAATGAATTTTATAACAGAACAGCATTAAACACAAATCAGACTAAAAACATTCAGCTGAAGGCTTTCCTGAACAATCCATATTTTAGCATGTGTCCTAAGGAATACACCATTGTGCTTTTGACATATGCCATCAAGTCACTGCTAATGTGTGATCATCCTAATAGTGTTTTCAAAGTACATTATTTATTTATTTAAAATATTTTGCCCTTTTTTTCTTCTTGAAGAGGACCCAAGGCTACTCACAACAGTGGAAGACAATATTTAAAGTTAAAAATAATGACTATTTAATGGTGGCTAACGTCATTAACAAAAATCTGAATAGTCAAAGCTATGGTTTTCCCTGTAGTGATATACGGAAGTGATAGCTGGACTATAAAGAAAGCTGACCGCCGAAGAATTGATGCTTTTGAATTGTGGTGTTGGAGGAGGCTCTTGAGAGTCCACTGGACTGCAAGGAGAACAAACCTATCTATTCTAAAGGAAATCAACCCTGAGTGCTCACTCGAAGGACAAATCCTGGAGCTGGGTCTCCAATACTTTGGCCATCTCATGAGAAGAGAAGACTCCCTGGAAAAGACCTTGATGCTGGGAAAGTGTGAAGGCAGGAGGAGAAGGGGATGACAGAGGATGAGATGGTTGGACAGTGTCATCGAAGTGACCAACATAAATGTAACCCAACTCCGGGAGGCAGTGGAAGACAGGAGGGCCTGGCGTGCTCTGATCCATGGGGTCACGAAGAGTTAGACGCGACTAAATGACTAAACAACAACAACAACGTCATTAAAGACAATATTTAAAACTATGAACAATGAATAAGGAGGCATCTTACAACATTTACAGGCAATAGTAAGGCAAAGAGAAATAAGTATACCAAAAAAGTCACTCTGAGAAATGGAAAACACAAAAATGGAAAACACAAGTATTATTAAAAACCCAAAGCAGTAATTTATGGCAATCTATCTAAAAATCACGCATAGGTAACTGAGGGAAGGCTTGCTTGAAAAGAAAGGCCTTTGCCTGCTTGCAGAAGGATAGCAAAGATGGGGCCAGTCTGGTGTCCTGTGGGACAGAATTCCAAAGTCTGGGAGCAACAACAGAGAAAGCTGTCTCCTGTGTCCCCATCAGACACACCTGAAGGTGGCAGGATCATAAGAAAGGCCTCTCTTGTTGATCTTAACATCCCTCTGTGTTTTCATTGGGAGCTTCTCCTTACTGATTGAACCAATGTGATCTGGTGGATCAAGAGGTATACTTGGGCTAGGGGCCTGGTTCGGGACCTATTTTTTTTGCCCGTGGGCTCACTATGCAGTTTTGAGCAATAAACGTGTAGATCCCCTTAGAAAGAATGGGAAGCTGTGCCTCAAAGATTGTAGATATGAGGGCAATAAATTTGTAGAAAACTTTACAGACAGAAAAATCTGTACAGAATAAATAAGCAACATATTGGCTAAAATCTCCTTGTGCAGCTTTACACTGCACAGATATGATTATGTTATTGTCCTGTGGTGGTAGCAAGGTTAAATAATGGTTTAAATTTTTAAAAATCTGGTTTTTTAAGGATTTAAATTTTAAAAAATATTTTTAGATTATAATCTAAATCAGTTTTTTTAAAGGATTGGTTTATATCCACCTTAAATGGTAGTGTTTATTTAAATTAATTAGAAGTCTTCTGCATCTTCCCACTTCACGTTCAGAGGTTTTTGACCTGAGGAAGCCTTTGGGAGCCTCAGGATGGAGGGCAGGAACTTTATTACCTAAAAATTGCCACCAGATTGCTGCCTCTTGTTTAACTGAAGAAGAAAAATAAATATGCAAAAATGGCAAAGTATTTTGTACCTTAAAAACAATGCAGTGTTGATGAAGAAATACAAAATGATTTGATGGGGGGAAAGGCATGAAATGAAACCTTGATGTATAAAAATATGAGGCATTTGATTGTACAAGAGATCTTGAATGTATCTCATAAGAAGAGACATATGATTGAACAAGTTCAAACTACAGTACCGTAAACTTAGAAATAAATAAAAGGACAAGAAGATACAAACCTATGGAGAAATTGTATAGCAAGATTACTGATTTTAAATGTTGAGAATTATAGGAACTGATTTCAGATTGATGGACAGGAAGATATTGAACGCTACATGTGTACTACCAGTAAGATGATGTGTTGTTTTACAGTCTAACTGTGTTCCGACATCACATTAAACTGCATTTTTCAAGATATGTACAAGCTTAACCTTTTCCTTGGACATTTGTGCTCCTTTCCTTCTTCACTGGTGTAACAGAAGGGATTTAGAAGTGTTCGTTTCCACTTTTGATTAACCATGGTGTGCTGTGTTATATGAGTCTGGTAAATTATGGTTAATCTTAAAAACAGTTTAAAGCAGGCCAGCTTTGCCAACCTTTGAATCTTGATGTTGGCTTGTTTGAAATTTATGCTTATGATTAATGTGCTTCAGTTCTGGATTTGGGAGTAAATCATGTAAGTAAATCAGAGGTTAAATGTACCAAACCAAAGTGTGATCTCAGTGTGTTTCTGACATTTTCTCATTTGCCGCAGAGTTGGGAGGTTGGAACAATGTGGAAGTCCTTTGCTGGGCTATTCATACTGCTGACCTG